TTTAAACAACACTTTGAATTAAGAATCTCATATAGATACTTTCTGTAAAAAAACTTGCAAATGTTTGTTTTACATTGCACAGACTTAGCAATACTGTTAATAAATCGGTGCTGTTATCCTATTATTACGCTTTTCAAAGCTTAAATATGGGATAATTTTTTGGGGTTCATCTAGTTATGCAAGCAGAGCTTTTATAATGCAAAAGAGGGCAATTAGAAATATTTTATTGCTAAGCCCAAGGGAGTCTTGTAGATCTAAATTTAAAGATTTAAAGCTACTGCCGCTACCATGTATTTATATTCTAGAGTTACTGTTGTATGTAAAAACTAATATTAACGATTTTACAATGAATAATTTTTATCATAATTATCTGACGATATCTCGTCATGATTTGATTCTTCTTGTACAGTATATAGTTTGAGTTTATTTGAAAAGAGTCCGTAATACATGGAGATTTTATTGTGTAACAAGATGCCAAATAGAATAAAATTGATATAATCTAAAAATTTATAAGCGGGAAGTTGAGATTTTGTTAATGGAACACTAATTCTATTCGGTACATGAATATTTATCTGGTATATTGATTTGGTAAGTCTTTAGGTACATCTAATTTGCAATTAATTGCCATTTTACCACCTATTTTAACGTGTCCCATGTCACTGCAATGATCTTATGGACAATAAAAATAATATTATATGTTTTAGGCGTCGATGAATCCGAATCCGGTATCCGTTTGCTCCAATCTAGTATGGGTTAAGTTTAGTTCAAGATCAAATGTAGAGAATCAATTGTCAACAAAGTAACTCCACACATCTATACGTTTTTGGGGACGTTGAATCCGAATCCAGTATATGTTTGACCAAACGGTCACTGGATTCGTATTCAGTGAAATTTACTTTGTTGACAATTAATTCTTTACATTTGACCTTGAATTGACATTAACTTGGACCTGATCGGGTCAAACCATATAGAAACCAATGTCTTGTTTTTCGGACCTTTTTATTTTTTGTGGGGCTGTGTAATTTGTACCACATAAGAGGGAACATATTGAACGAAGTTAGTACCTTCTATTAATAAGATGATAGGGTATTTCATGTTTAAAAATAAAGGTATGATTTATATCTTCAAAATTCAACAGTCAATGGTTTTTTTACATAATGCTTTAAAATCGTAAGAATGGCTCCTAAAACTTTCGTCGTGACCTGAAATGAACGTTAAAAAAACAAAATCAGGGGGAAGATAGATGTTATGTGAATGATCTTGTACATGGCAATAGAAAAAAAACAATATATAAAATATTTGTCCTGCATTATTATATGTATTATTGTGCACTGCGCAACTTTTGGTTGACCCTCTTTGTACTCATTAAAATAATTATAAAATATCTGTAACCCTTAGTGAGACGAAGTTACATTTTTTCCGTACACACTACTTTCAGTAGTATTAAAATAATTACTATTGTAACTTTAATATATTTATAAAATTCTAATAGCTATCTTAATATTATTGCTTATGAAAAACGAAAAGAAGGATTAACAATTTAGATACATACCACCGTTATAATACAAAATAACTATAGTATTGCTTCTGGTTACCAAAAATATCACCTTATTTTTAATAAGCAAATGTTTGTGCAAAAATACATGTCTTATTGCAAGCATTTTATTCATTTTTGTTAATTAAAATGCTACTAATATTTTTACATTTAAATAAATTAATCACAGTTTATAATTTACTTCGGTCTCTGACAACATTAAAAGGAGTCGAGTAAACATGAAATTCTTCATCGTGATATGTAACCTTAAATTTAGAATGAAATATTTCTTTGTTGCAAGAGTCTACATTTGTTTTCCTGAGTGAAATAAAAACATCGGATGAGTATTTCGGATAGCTGAATTTCATGTTTACCTTTAATTGGGCATTAAAAACTCTACAAAAGCATACTTTAAAACTTTGAGGAAGTAGTACAGATCTATTACTAATTGATTACTAATTACAGTAGAAAGAGGGATATTACGAACGGTTCTATATTGTATTAATCACAGTTTAAAGTATATTTTATACTTGCACGATACAATGTACAAAATTGCGAAATTTGATAGTACAAACGGATCTTTTAGTTGGTCAACATTTTCGCTTTAAGACATTGATATTAAAGAATTTAACACTGTAAATACTTTTCATAATGCATTCGAGTATATAGAAGAAGTATTGCTATAACATTATCATTATTATTTACAAATTAGGAGTTATTGGTCTTACAGACAATAACAGCTTTTTGGATATACCGATTCAACCGGTTTTTAAGTGAAAGTGAAGAGTTAAACAAAAGAATTCGATAATTGTATAACATATATCGAAATATGCATTTATATAGACAACTATGTCATGAAGCAGCAGTGTATATGAGGTATATCCACAAAGTAAGAATACTGAGACTCCCAGGTTTTTGTTTTACGACAAAATTGTCAACACTACATTCAAGACCAAGGTGTTGGGAGCAGAACGCGCGCTCATTTGTCTGAGTCAGTTAAAAATTGCTGTTGTAGTAGCGTATTGAAATGAGTACCGCTATTCCGAATCCCACCAGGTAACTGTATTGTGACTGGCGACGAAACGTGGGTGGTCCACTACACCCTTGGACAAAAAAACACAGTCAATGCGGTGGCGACATTTGTCTTCACCTCAGCAAAAAAAATCTAAACCATTGTTTCAGCCCAAAAAATCATGACAACTTTGTTTTGGGACCATAGATTCTCCTCATTAATTTTTTGCAACAGGGGAAAACAATCAATGCTTCGCGATAGTGTGAAACCCTGAAAACACTACGGAGGGCGATACAGAACAAAAGAAGGGGAATATTAACGAAAGGAGTGTGCTTATTGCATAATAAACACGTCCCCATGCACACAACTGCCACAAAGCAACTATTGGATTAATTCAGTTGGAAGATCATCAACCCCGCTCATAGCCCTGCCCTGACACCTTCTGATTTTCATCTTTTCTCTTCTTTGAAAGTCTTGATAGGTAGAAAATGGTTTTCTACCGACGATGAGGTCCACAGTGCAGTGAAACAATGGGCCCTAGAGGCGGCGGGATATTTTTTTGAAGAAGGTATCATGAAACATCCCTCCATTCACAAAATGCATTCAGATTGAAGGCGACTACTTCGAAAAATAGTGTTTGATGTACCTACCTATACTAGTTTGATTTAATAAAAATTAGTATTCTTTCTTTATAGACATGCCTCGTACTTTTGTGTTACTAAATTTACTTTTCTACTGTTTACTAATTCATTAAACAGTATCTTTCAGTTTTATCGAATTCTCGAGTAAATGTAACATTAACTACCAATTAATATGAAAAATATTTTTAAAACTACACTTATAATGCATATTTCGTTTAAAATAAAAATCAAAATATTTTACGGGATTATAGTTGGATTTTTCATATAAGAAATTTTCACAGAAATTAGATGAAACACAATTTCAGAATTTGTTGGACGTATTGCAAATCGGGAAAATAACTTCAATAATGTTTAACTTGTTTTTTGAACTTATCGGCAAATTGATAGCAATTAATATAGGTGTAGACTCCATATAAAAAAAACTAGTATAAACATGTCTGCAAATGTTTCGTTTTCGGTATACAATACCTAGATGTTAAAATTTGAAAAGCAATAGTTTGGTATGTTTTTTTAAACGGCAAAAAGACCTTTGCATTCATTTCCTGCATGCATTTTGTCAAGCAGGGCATAGTTTTTCTGAGGTAGACGTTGGCTTCCATCTTTGCTTTGTTTTTGTTTATTTTGTTTTTTTCTTGTTTAGAACTACCTCAAATTTGTTTTACAATTATTATAGAACAAAAATGTTTCAAAAAACCTGTTACTCCATTTTTGTTTTCGATATATGTATAAATAGCAAATAAGATCATCTAAGTTATTATTATTAATATAGGTATAGTAAGTAATAGATAATTAATAATTTAAATAATACCATTACTTGCTAATGAAATAATATATTAGTCTTTCAACTGGTTTAACTACAAAGTATTTTAAATATACCTTATCTTTTCAAAAATTATGTTGGAAGCAAAGTATTTGCAGACATATTTTTTTTCTTTTAATTTATGATATAGAATACGCCACTAAAACTTGGACAAGCATTTTAATTACGCCCCGTGCGTGTTGTACTAAATTTTGGAATAATATTTGCTGTAATTAAAATATATAAATTGATAATTTCCAAATTTGCAATATTTATATCTGATTTAATTGAGAAACGAAACATATTTCATCTGATTGATAATCCGATGATTGCCTTCAGCTACTAATATAAATTGTTATTAAAACATTTACTACAGATTGTTGCAAAGTGTATAAAATAAATAAGTATACAGTATGTGCCACTGTCGTTTGCTTAGAAGCTACAAGATGTATTTTAAATCGTCATAACCCACAGATTCAGAACAGTAAAGGATTCAAGTTGATATAAAAAATATCTTATTTATTTTCATACTTAGGGTTTCAAGAATATTATACATTATGTTTTAGTTTACTACTCTTTAACCTAAACATTTTTTAAATTCTAAATAGTAAGTGGGACATCTACGAGAATACTATAGAATTGGGTGATGAGTCAAGCTGTTTCATATATTTGATAAAGCAAGGCACAGGAAAGTTACATTATAGTCAGTGAATGATGGGGAAGTTAGTCATAAATGACGGTTCTGTGTGTGACAACAATGTTTCATAATTTTTCCTCTCACAGATGACCATGAAAAGGAAAAATTAACATGGTAAAATTGGAGCAAAGATAGAACAGAACGTCGTCAAATTTAAAACAAGAAAAGAAAACATAGAAAAGGAAGAAGAAAAGTGGTGTTTAATTTGATACTTTCTTATTATGACCAAAAATGAGTTTGTGGTGAGAAAAAACGCGAAGGAAAAACTGATTTCAGTACATTTGTTATAAGAGGTCAATTTATAGTGGCTATTCAGTTTTAAAATCTGGATGGAAATTGTAGTGTTGAAAAAATTAGGCCTTGGATTCTAAAATAATTGAAAAATACAGCTTCGATATTTTTTAAATTTAAGTTTATTATCAGCTGTTGTACTTTTACTTTACTTTAAAGGCATAGGCCAACAAATCTTGTATTGAAGATTAGATAACTTTTACATGCTTATATTTTTGGTCTCAACATTGTTTGGCTTTATAATAAATGATTGTTGCTATATTATTTTTAAAAAAATGTTATCTTCCCACCATCTAGTGGAACTTCGTAACTGGATACATAGGGAAGGTAATGAAGAGCAGAGTTTTCTGTTTTCTTAATAAAATCTCAAATTTTAAATTTTGAATATGTCATGGATTGTTAATTATAATAAAATATCATTGATGTAGGAAGTAATTAATTCCAGTAACAATTTTTCTGAGAAAGTGGGCACTTTCATAAATGGTGTGTAATGAAATTTTTCAATACAGATATTAGAGAATTTGAAAAATGGCTACAATATTTTTTAAAAGATAATTTGTAGATCGTCCCATTTAATTTCACAAAAGTTAGTTCCCTTGTTGAACCATATCAATTCAACTCAAACAATTTGGTCTTTAATAGTATTTATTTTAAATGAAATTATCAAAAAGTATTATTGTCTATAAAAGTTAAACAAAATTGCAAATACATATTACGAAACAAGTGAAAAACGAAAATATTTTGATGGAATTAAAAAATATAGGTATACCACGTAGAATCTTTTACTGTACTGTACCAGTGGCTGGTATAGATTTAAAATACAATATTTTTAGTTTCTAAGAAATAGTCATTAGGAACGTTAAGTGCAATATCGTCTGATAATTAACTTTTATATTAAAATATACAGGTATAAGTAAGCAAATAATAAAATGCATGAATCATTGGAATATACTGTATTTTATGTATTTTTTATTTCGATCCGTGATATACTACCCGCATTTCTTCCTAACACAACCGTTGAAATATTTCATACAGTCTCATTATTAGTATAAACCTAACTTACTAACATATCGATCATCTTTGAATAATTGTTACTACTTTTATAATACAGTATAAGGTGGGCCATATAAGCAAAGCACTAAAGGAATCTGCTTTTGTGGATGTGCTTGTCTCGACGCATTTTCCTGAAAAATAGATGATATATTTATTTCTGCACTTATAGAAATTTCAAACAGAATGGTCGGAGGTACAAAAGTACAATTTACGTATTTACGTGACAAATGTAAGCTGATTTTGATCATGTTACCTTACAAGTTTGCTTAGTTAAAAAGTTATGGATCCCCAAAGTGTTTAAGACATTTCAATAAAATTATGTTTCTCTCGCAAACAAATTGAGTTTTAATCAAAAATTAGTAATTCACAAAATAATGCATGTGGAAATATTTCTTTGTATCACGACTATTTTTTTGGTATAGACCTTTTTTCATTACGAAGATGCTTTATACGAAAATTGACCAGATATGTAGTATCTCGAATGATATACGAGACAAAACAAAGTAGAAGGTGAACTAATAATATGACCAGAAAGAAATATTAATATTGATATGAATATTAAGAAAAGGAAATAGATGGATGAAAAGCTAAGTAAATTTTATTTGTGGACAATAGTTAAGATAATAAGGTTGAATTAGATGTCGTTTTCATAAACTAGGGGGCACTAATAAAGTGGGATTATTTTTTTTTTTTTTTGAATATGAAACATCATCCATTGGCAACTATTAGTTTTCCATTGCCATTACTATTCGACTAGTTATGATTTTTTATAAAGCTTAATTTTTGCAGAAAAACATGTAAAGCACTTCATTTTATAGAAAAAATGATGTCGTAAAATTATTTATTTTATGTCCCTCAAAATATTTGTGCACCTAATTTGAAGAAAAATATCTGTTATTTTTTCTCGCCAATAAACTTGCAAATGTAAAAAGAAATTTGTGGTGTATCTACGATGCCATGAAATCAAAAACAGGACAAGGACGGACTGCACGTTCCTCAAAAAAATAGTTCTGTATCTTTGAAGAAAAAATATACAGGATGTCCTGAAAAAACGCTAGTATAAATTCAGGGCCTGATAGAATTTCAAAAAATGTTACAATTTGTTCCTATGAACCATGAGCGTATCCTTTTCCGTTTTCAAGATACAGGGCGTCGAAAATAATTTTTTTTAATCTAGTTTCGGTCATATCTTCCGAATGAACTGAAATTATTTTGTTATGTGGGGTTTCTGGGGATACTAAATGCTCTGGAGTTATTAATTCTTGGTTATATCATACAGGTCGTTCAATGCAGTACTCCGCGGGAACATTTTAGGTCCTAATCTTTTTACCCCTTTTGTCACTTGCTGTTATGGCAAATTTTATTCTAAACAAAAAGGAGCTCCTGTAAGAAATGCTAAAATTTGTCCGTTTTCGAGGAAAACCAAGCAGCTAGTAGCCCAAATTGTTTTTTATTTCAAGTAGGCTTTGACACCTAGTTACTATTACTATTATTAGTTTCATTAATAAAACCCAAAGTCAAAGTTATTCTTTTAATGGTAACGACAAAAAGTAATAGGTAATTTATTTCTGGAAAAGTTTACACATACTGAATACAACTGAAAAAAAGAAAAACGACAAGAATAACTAATTATTATTATTACCAGTGAATTAAAATTTAAGGAAAATAAAATCAGAATAAGTGTTCGAAATGTCTTACATTTTCACGAATACAAAAACGAATTCTTTTTTGTAATGAAAACAATGTATTTTTCAAAGGTTCTGAATCGTCTTTTAGATGGTTGAAAACATCAACAATCTTCTGTCTCAGATGTTCTGCTGAATTTATTTCTGTTTCATATACATACTTTTTGTTCGGCATAGCTCCAAATTACATAATAAAGGGGTTTAAAGTCTGGTGACCTTGGAGGCCAGTGAATTGGAGCATCTGCACATCGACCAATCCATTGCTCAGGAAAATTTTCATGAAGCCATTCTCTGCATATTCAAGTAAAATGTGGTGGAGCCCCATCATGCATGAAATAATAATTATTTCTTGCTAAATAGTGGAATATCATCTTCAGTAATTTCGAACACACTATTTCTTAAAGAATCTAAATACTTTGTGCCATTTAAATTACCTTCCAGAATATGGTATCCTATTAACTCATTCCCCATCGTGGCAGCACAAACATTTACTTTAAATGAATGTTGAAAATGAGACTCCATTTCGGCCCCAGGATTTTCTTCAGCCCACAGACACTCATTATAAGCATTAAACACTCATGTTCGAGAGAAAATTGCTTCGTCCGTAAAAAGGATAGATCGTAGAAAATTCGGATCTTCATTTTGTCTTCTTCCAGAAATTTACAAAAATCTGTTCGGAGCCCGTAATCATTTGGTAATAATTCTTTTGTATAATGATATGGTTGCAACTATAGCTCTTTTAAAATTTCCGAAATACCACACACGAACACATTTGCTCTTTGTGATAATTTTCTGATACTCACTGAGGGCTCCTGAACTACCGAAAGTCAACAACATATTGGTATATTCCGAGTTTGAATAATTATTACCATTATTCATACTGCTAGTAAAATCTCTTATTACACGAATTAAAATAAATACTTCTGATAATGCACATAACACGTTAATTTGACCTATCTGACACAAACCTAATAGAAATAAAAAATAACAATTTGGGATACTAGTTGCTTGACTTTGGCGCACTATGCCTGGTTTTTCTCAAAAAGGGGCAAATTTTGGCACTTCTTACAGGAGCTTTGTTTAGAATAAAATTTGCCATAACAGCAAGTGACAAAAGGGGTAAAAAGATTACCCTCAAAAAAGTTAGAACCTAAAATGCGCCCGCGGAGTACTGTACTGAACGCCCTGTATGAGATAGCCAAAAATTAATAACTCCAGAGCATTTAGCATCCCCAGAAACCCCACATAACAAAATTTCAGTTCATTCGGTCGAATTTTGTGGAAGATAGGACCAAAACTAGATTCAAAAAAATTATTTTCAACGCCCTGTATCTTGAATCGGAAAAGGATACACTCATGGTTCATAGGAACAAATTGTAATATTTTTTGAAATTCTATCAGGCTCTGAATTTAGGCTACTGTTTTTCAGAACACCCTGTATAGTGATTATTAAATAGAAAATTTATATTGTTACTGTTATTAATTATTATTTAGAACTCTTATATTTAATTGTTTTACTGTACGAAAGCTTTCAGCATCAAATTAAATACTAGCTCTCCACGTCACTTCAACCAACTATTTTTAATGTCATGACATTTTAGACAGGCACTACAAAATTTTATTTTGTCTAGTTTTCGCTGTGTAAACAAATAACCAAAAGATTTTTTTTTCAAATTTGGTATACAGAAGAGTCTTACGTTGCTTTTCTGTAACTAAAAATCTACCTAATGTTTTCTCCTGAAAAAAAAACATCACAGTAGACTAAACGTCTGTACTAACTGGAAACCAATAGTTGCTAATTGATGACCCTTCAGGGCCCTACCCACAAAAATAGTCCCACCTGATTCCGACAGCGTACCTATTTAAGAGGGTGTTACCACGAAAAACAGATCCACTGTGTATACAATGACAGCTACATCTACGATATATTAATACGATACAATTATTAAGATAGTCAAAGTAATCCTTAACTTCCATTACCAGCATTTATAACTTCAGATATCACTGGAATTTCACACAACTGAAAATGCGGTCTGTTATACTTACCAAGAGTAGTGATATTAAAGATGAGTTCGCCAGTTATGCCCGGTTTAAGAAGTCGGTCGCAGCTGTCGGCAGACGTGGAGAACATCACCATGCCAGAGCCCTGTTCCTTGTACATGAAGCAGTACCTTCGTGCACCGTGAGATGCTCGACTTAGAGGCGTGGTTATTAGGAAATTCGTTCCGTTTTCTTCCCATCCACCATGACAAGAGTATGCTGAAAATAATAATTAATTATGCTTTCTAAGGATCTTTACGTTGTGCCATTCTGAATAACATACAAGAAAAGGAACAAGTCTTAATTAGTTTTATTATATTTAATTCTTTACCACATTAAGGGTCAATATTTTGAGTAGGTACCGACTTTAAAAGCCGGGCTTTGTGAATGTAATGAGCATTAAATGAATGAATGAACAAAAATATTTCTCAGAATACTTTGAAATATTTCAAACACATGATAGGTAGTAATACGTATTTTTGGTGGTCTACGGAAGTAGAATATACAGGGTGTTGTGTGACGTAATATACAAAGATCATGTTTCCGAGTCATGTCTTATAAACAAGAGTCCAAATCACCATGGTTACTGAGATTTAGGTGTTCAAATTTTAGTAGTTTTATAAGTAGCTACGAGTTGTAAGCTTTCATTAGTTGATGCAAGGCTTATTATTAGGCTTATTCAGGTTGTCGGCTTTCCAATGAAGAGTCTATTGATTTCATGTACGTCTATGGATTTTATTATGTGAATTGGCGAGCTACTCATAGAGACCTTTCTTTTTGGGGGGTATCTTACAGAAATAATTTATGTCAACTTTTTATGTAAGTTTGTGAGTAAATGTCTTAATGAACGTGTAGATCCGACGTGAAGGACCATGTCCCAGGCCACAGAGATCATCAGCTATCAACCCCTTTAGAGTATTACTTGTGGATCGAATTGAAGCACATGTTTTTATCTAAACAAATATTACTGCTAAGGTGTGATGAAAATTATTCCACAGAAAATGAAACTGAATGTAAATAACTTCGACGAAAGAGTGTGCGGAGGAGCACATAACGCTAGTAATGTGAAACGTCACGGGCCGCTTCTTCCCAATACTATTAGGGCACTACTGATTGGTCCATCAAATTATGGAAAGACAAATGTAATGATTTCTCTATTAATTCACCCTCGGAGGTCTACGATTTCTCAACGTCTACATATATTCAAAGTCTCTATACCAGCATAAATACGAATTCCTCCGTAAAGCATTAACATCAATCGAAGATTTAGGATTCTACACATACGCTAACAATGTAGAAACCATGGAACGCAGGAAGCCAAGTCAGATTCCATATTTATATTCGACGACGTAATGTGTGAAAAACAGGAGGTGATCAGGACTCACTTCAGCGTGGGACAACATACACCGGCTAACAAACGGCTAACAAATGGCTAACAACGGCCAACAAACGGCTAAGAACCGGCTAACAACCGGTTAACAAACGGCTAACAACGGCTAACAAACGGCTAACGACAGTTAACAACGGTTGAAGCTTACCCTAACGTGTAAATCAGACGTGAAGGCTCATGTCCCTGGCCACAAAGATAATCAGATATCAACCCCTTTAGAGTATTACTTGTGGAGCAATATTAATAGCTTTGTATATGAGGAAATAATTAGTGTCTAGTGAGTGTTCCAATGTATTTATCCTCCATTAAAAGCATAAATATTCTCAAAATATGGAAGTCTTACATGCGTATCATTCCAAAATTTAACATTTTAAAAATAGATAAATGAACTGAGAGAAACTTAAGACATGAATGCAGTTCATATTTCGTTAAATTTTGATCCAAGATTAAATTAAATTTAAAGTCGTTTAGTTTATTGAAGGATAATAATGAAAACTGTATCCTAGATGCTTTTGTACTTCGAAATGCATTCTCTTTCATATTTCATTGTGCTTCCTCGCAAAACACAGTTATTAATGTCAGTAACGATTATTCAAAAGATATTTACAAGTTTTAGAATACGATATTAAATAATCTTAGTCAGTTATTATAAACAATTCTAGATTTCTCTGCGATCCAGCAATCTATTCTGTTTACTATAAATGTATATTTCAATAAATTATTGACTACGCTATTGTTCTGCGGAATATTTGCAAAGCACTTATTAAATAGTGTAAGCGTATATGTTTAAGTATTTATAATGAACATAAAACGTAAAAAAATGTATTTAATCACGACATAGGTGAGCATTATATTAGTTTGAAGGCATTTCTATTTATATTAAAGGATATATCTATGATAATATAGCAATAACAATTATGTAGTAATACCATTAATTAAAATAATATTAAATATTCTAAACAGCAAGTGAATACAAATCTTTATTTTCAACCTTTTCATAAATATATAAATAATTTATTATAGAAAATATAAGAACTGATTTTTGTATTTTTGTAAGAAGAAATTAGTAGTCGTTATAAGAAAATTTGTTATTACCTGTTGACTGAACTATACAATAAAGAATATTGACAATTCCTTCATACATTTGGTAGGTAATCCTTTCGATAATTACAGCGAAATACTTGTATTTCTAAATCTTAACATTTCAAAACAATGCAAAAAACACATCCGTTTTTTACTTTTATGTTAAATTCACAATTTCTATTACTAAAGTAATGCAAAAGGATTTAGAACTGCGGATCTTTATTCTAAGGAAAAGCAATATATTTTAAAAGACTGTCACAAGCACTGGGAGACATTTTTTAAATAATAATGTTCCTCTCCTCGAATACGTGAATACAAGAACTTCAGTAATAATTCATTTGTGCTGACTTGCCAACACAAACTGGGCAACCATTTTAACATCACAAACAAATTCATACTATACATTGAATGGCTAAAACTGCATATCGATATCTTGATTCGGTTAACAGATACAGAACGTTTCTCGATTATGACCATTTTCTATGATGCGCGCTTTATAAATTTTTCGTTTGCGGAAATATTTTATTTTTGTAAAGAGACTTTTTACATATACTTTACACTTAAATAGAACATCCTATATATTTACTGACTTTTTAAATCTGCGTGAAAACTCCTTTCAAATCTATAATACATCTATACTTATCATACAGGATATTTGCAAAAAAAATATTTTCTAGTGTATACTCGTAAATACCAAAAAATATAAATGTTTTTGTGAATCAATTGCTTCATGACACAGTTCAGTATACCGTCCATTTTTGGTTCACCGATACATCAAATGTATCTATGGCAGACTTAATTGTGTTAAACACTTGACAACAAACAAAATAATAATTTTTGACGTTTATTCCATGAAAACAATTTTTCGAGCAAATATTATGTCATGATGGAAGAATATTACGTTACAAGTGAAAAATAGAAAGTTATAAATAAATATCGCATACGTCGCTGCATGAAAACTGAGTAAAAAAAAACTCTTCACAAAAATGAAATATATTCAAAATAAAAGAAGTTACAGAATAACATAGAAAACGGCTAAAATTGGAAAACGATTAAAGATATCGAAATGCGGTTGTCGCCATTGACCTTTTCTTGAAAATCTAGTCGATAAGATCTAAATTACTTTTTTCTATCTTTTCGGAAAATAGAAGAAACCCTCCAAAGCGTAACATTTAGTCCATCCTGTGCAGAAGTGGATAAAATTATTCTTAAAAAGTTTTAATTCTAAACTATTCATTGTATTTAGAACAGGATTGTATTAGTTCTGTTCTTGAAATTTCTTAAAATGTTTTAGGTCAGAAACCTCTTTTATCCACAGCTATACGACTCGGAAAGAATAGAAACAAGACAGATGTTATGGTATGAGAATGGTCAATGAATAACGACTAACAGAATCGGCTAGTAGAGATCTTTTAATATCTCATGAGCCGCGAAATGCGCGAAAGGCGTGGCGTATCCCCATAATTCTTCTAATAAGCACGTTGTGAAAACATTGACTCAGAATTAGACCACGTGCCTCATCACAACTAGAAATCTTGATGCCCGAGCTAAGGCGCTCGGGCATCAAGAAAGTCAACTGGCGAACGTTCGTTATATATATTTTTATTGTTTAAATTAAAATAATAAAGAATAGGGCATTTTATTATGATATTTGTAATCGGATCAAAGGCTAGAGCTCGAGAGAGACTGTGAATAATATTTTTAGGATGTAGAATAATTTAGGCGACGGTCGGAATTATGTTTCTGCGCATATGAAGGTCAAAGCTCATAAGATTTTAAAACATCTCTACCACAGGAAGATAGGAAAACTGATAATCACTTGAATTAGCCACATTAGGAATACGATTAGGGATAAGAAGGCAATACATGAAATGGGATGGAGAGATAAGCAGAAACGGAGATAAAAATGTTTGGAGCGACAGGTCACAGAACTGTTGACAATTTCTGGATACAATTACAGTGCAGACGATAGTACACAGGACAAGAAGAGAGCTACTTTTACTGTTGTTAGGTGAAGAAAACATCAGCAATGATGCTACATTGTTTAGTATTCACTTCTGAAGTAGGGCCGGCGAAGGTTATTTATCATTAAAAATTGTTTTATTTCTAACTACAGAGAGTTTTATAGCAGGGCCAGCATTGTATATGTAATGTCACTGCCATTAAATAATAATAAATTTTACACTTTTAATACAATTGTAGCAGACTTTAAAAATAAACTTGTTGAAATACTGTTGTTCACCTATACTATTATACTTACAAGTAATAAAATCGGGTGCCGAGCAATCAGTTCTGAACTCCATGGTGTCAATATTGTTACAGCCTATTATGAGATTTGTATATCCATTACTATCACAGTCGAAATCCTGGTCGATACGTTTTATCCTCCTCAAGTGGTTTTCATCTCCGAAACCTGGCCTGGATAATTTATTCACGTAGTAATTCGAGTCGAAGTAAAACCTGTCCGGCAGATGAGAATATTTATTCACATATGAGCTACGTTCGTTGCGCATCAAGTTGTTGACTTCGAATTTTCCCATATATGGACAGGCGCGGGTCTCAGGAGACGTAGCTGGAAAATAACGAGTGTGAAATTTATGTAAAATGTTTTCGGTACGAAATGAATTTCATAAAAGCAATAACTCCCCAGTCTCTACAACAAAAAATATTTTACTTATACTTTACGAAGAAAATTCCATTAGAAGGGAACATTTGCACGAAGTCGAATAACATGTACTTCAGATTGTAATTTGGTTTACACGTTTAGTAAAAAAAATTGTTTTGCTCCAACGGTTATTATGAATTCAAAGAATTTAAGGAATATCGCCAGGTGAAAGGTAATATATTCAGAAAAAAATATCATGAATACAGATTGGCTTTTTTGAGCCAGTCAAAATAATACTAGACCAGATATTTTGAAGATTAAGATCAATGTTCTAACCATTATTTACCTAGATAAGAGTCTAATGAATAAATCATTTCAGCACAGTGAGTAAAAAGTCATTCTGTTCGTAAGGAGTATCCCACAAAAATGTCCATAAACTTTAAAAGGGCATATATTAGGTAAGAATAAGCAAAAAAGTTTATGAAAACCTTGCTTTAGTCCAGAAACATATCATTTGTGAGACAAGGTCTCGTAAGCTTTTCGAAAAATAATACCTATATAAAACATAATGAAAACTTTACAAAATTTTCTAATTTAGTGCTTACTAAAATTGGGGACATAAATGCCTACTACAGCTACCTTTCAGACGTCAAAAGTTACGCATATAGTGTACCGCTACGAAATAAAAGTCTGTACAAAATTTCACTTTAATTTTTAAAAAATCTAGAAGGATCTGTTTGATGTACTTATTTGTAAAAAGAATAAAATAACGAGATAACGTTGATGAAGGCACTGTATGTGTCAACTTATCAATATAGGAAAGTCAATGCCTGAGAATATGCCTTCTTTATGCAACACTGCAAAACATAACCCCTTGTTGGAAGAAGAATTCAGGTAGATCTCTATTTTTCTATACGAGTACATATCCAAAACATATTTTGAAATACCTTATATCGCCTTCAAATGTGATTTATTAAAAAATAACATTGTGTTTGAATTATAAGCATGTTTGTAGTTGTCCCAATTTCAGTTAAATTTCAGTTAAGCACCCGCTGTAAAGGTGAAACAATTTTATTACTACACATCAGTGAAGACAAACTTATATATAAATATAGTATAAAAAATAGCACCAGAAATCTACAGAGGATGAAAGTCATGACTCATAATCCACAAAGACGTATTAAACGTTCTTTATAATCAAATTTTTATTATGAACAAACTTTCGTATTCAAGGTTATATGGATTCAATGGAAAAAATTAACATTAATATCTGAACTGTACATCAATTTGAATTATATTTTTATAATTTATTTATAATTCAATAAAATATGTGGTATATTTTTTAATTAAGTGTTTTAACTTTTCAATTTAACGAGCTAATAAAAACAGTTAATTTATGAATATAGAAAAAATATGAGAAACTGTTGGATTTCCATAATAAAGATTAAAAATACTTTTTATTTTCAATTCAAGTTTTTTTAATTTGATATTATTTGAGAACCCATTAAAACTCGGTCAAACAGAAGGCGGACTGTACGCGCGGACCAATTTAGTTCGCAGCGGACAAAGCAGCATTTGTGATTTTCTACAAAATCCGCGCTGACTGGAATGGCTGACGAGACGGAAAAATTAACCTTGTGCGGGAGTGCCTTTTTTTGTTATATGACTTTTGTCATCCTGACTATCGTTTTTCAATTATTTCATGTGCCTATTTTCTTTTTCGTCTTGCTTGACTCAAACCGAACGGAAGAAGCAATTCTTCTTCGTCAGAGGAACTGCTGGATATGATGAATTGAGAACAGCAAAAAAAACACAAATTGAAGAAAGAATGAATTGGAGAAAACAATACACACTCTTGACGACTGTTTTCATACTTGTTCGTCTCGATTTATCCTCATTGTGTCTGACTACCCGCGGACTGCGGTCGTTCCGTCAGCGCGGACAGTCCGCCTCTTGTTTGACCGAGCCTTTTTAATATCATTTTATACCTTTTATGTTATTTTTTTATATACTTAATCTGTCACCTGATAACATTTAATGCTGCAACCAGGGGAAATTCAACGCAAACGAAAATGAACTAGCAAAACATTAATTTCTGAACTAAATCAGAGTCGTCTCCCGGTCCTAACGAAATTACAGTCCCCATCCCCCATTTTGAAAAACCATGTTTGATTTTTGGGTTAATCTTTGTCCCAAATTATACAAGCCTGTTTTCAACTGTTCAAATGTTTTGTTTATAAACTCTACCTGATAATGCGGTTCTTCAAACTGTCATAATGCAACTGGTACTTGGTGATGTACTCGGATTCTGCCTTCGGATAAATATGCAGTCTTTCACCTCGGTTACAACAATCCAAACTGTACCTACTTATCGTCTATCCTCTGACATACGTGGAAAAGCATTTGGAGCTATATAATAATTAAAAAGGCTAACACTCAAATTCATTTACTAAGGTGTTAAAAATTCGGATCCTGATCTATTATATATTATAAAACATATACTCGGCTCATAGGATATGGTATAACAGTTTGGTGTCCTTATTTAGTTATGTTACGGCCCTGGGGAGAGTTTAAAGGAGTATCACGAAGATGACTCCAACTTGTATAAATCACGTATACGAATATCCTTAAAAATTATTAAAACTTCCGTTTCTCTCTAACAGACAGGGATCTTATTTAGATGTTCCGCATTAATCACAGTCTTTTTTGTCTTGACATGTCCTACTTATTTGTCTTAAGTGAAAATAGAGGTCTTAAAGGCAACTCTCTAAAACCTAACCATAGAAAATATTATTTAACTTGTAGACTACAATTAACAGAGCTCTTCACCAGAGCTTTTCGCCATCACTCAACTTCTCCTAAACGGTCGGTTTCTTGGCCAGCGTTCTAAGTATTAATGTTAATCAGGCCGAGTATGTATCCCGTTTTATCATAATAACAGTTACGTTATTTCAGGGTTAAATGTTAAAGTTAACGTTAACTGTTAAGATATAACGTGCACGTTATTGAGGAATTAAGACCATTTTTAGCAAATGCTCGTATTACAATTTTGTTGTTTTTTGAAGACGCTTTTGTGTAGACATTTTTAATAATCATTATGCAAAATTATTATAAACAAGAGTCACTATTAAACAAAAACACATATAACTGGCAGATGTCTTTTTGGTTATGAAACACGAAACAAATGCAAACTCGTAAATAACGGGTAAGTTCGACATAAAATAGTTTGTAACACGTAATCTTAAATTATAACAGAGTTTCTTAAAGGCAAAGAATTTGGTGTCGCTATAGTTTAACGTACATGTTATTTGTCTAATGAAAATGAACGGCTTGTTAAATTTACACTTACTTGCCGGTTTTATAAACGCACATCGAAGGTAATTTGTAAAATTTAAGTAACTTAGGTAAGTATTTACCCTAAAATTGCTGTTAGGTTAAATCAAACGAAGAAGAATCTAACTAGGAAACTACCCCAACCCGAACTCTCCGATTTCCAATATTTTTATATATGTTGTAGATTCGGTTGTAGAACATACAAAATTAAATGACATATTTTTTTTATCGGCGGAAAAACATATTTAGGGGGTGAAATACATCCTCAACGTTCGTCCCCCAAAACAGTTTTTTCTAAATATCTGGGGTTCTAAGCAATACTTTGGAATGAAAAAAAAATGGAAATTGCTTCTTATAAAAAAACAAATGTTTCACATTAGATTCCGTGTTTGGAGGTTGCTACCCTTATTTTTTATTTCAAAAAAACTATATTTTTCAAACATTTTTTATATATAAAAAAATTCATATTTGTTAAAAAAAAAATAAAAAATATGATTTATGTAAACAAGTTGACAAAATTAAGTTCTCTTTTTAGGGGGTGAACAACCCTCTAGTGTGCTAAAAATGTATGTACGATTAGAATTAACATATTTACTTCATTTCTTCCTTGACTTTGTTTTTATCACTATACATTGTTGTATTTATAGTATCCATGTAGTTTTAGAATAAGATATTCACTGCATCTTTGGGCATGATAGACATATCTCTTTAATTATTTTGTAATAATAATAGAATAGTAATAATAATAATAGAACAAGGATTAATTGAAGAAATAAATGATTTTAAAAGGTTAATGACATTTTGTAGAAAAATTTATAGGACACTAAACCAGATACCAGATGTTATCCAAAATTCAATCAATTTGAGAGCAATTGCCTGCTGATAGTAAACCAATTATAGATTATTTGAAGGACCATGGTCTTTGAGTCGTTATACCGTGGCCTATGTACCTGCCGTCAATTACAACCTTACATTGCACCTCATTAAGCTTAGCTAGGAATCTTTGACCTGCCCTTGCTGTTCTCGGGCTAGGATTTGTGATGGCGGACTCGCTATCAGAAGTCCTAAACCCACACTGATGTCGATTTTCATTCTTATTGCTGCTATTAAGGCCGCATCCTCAGTTCTAACTCTGCAAAAGCTAGAGGCACGAGACGTAAAAGCCTTAAAAGCACTTATTACTATATAATTTCCTTAACAGCAATTTATAAAAAAGAAAATTATTTTTTATTGTACCTTAATGCACCTTTTGGTAGGTATTATATACCTAGACATTCTTAAAATACAGTATTGAAAAATCAAGTGCTTACCAACGAAAATTTATACAAGCTCAGCTGCAGCGTCGCATTGGAAAACGTTATTCTTCGCATTATTTCACACTGGCGTGAATATTGCAGCGCCTTCGAACAATGGTTTATAAATAAATTTTACGGGTTACGCCGCGGAACGTATCTATTTTGAATGTTTTATACCGAAAGTGACAACACGGACCACCAAGACACACGGTCATTAAGAATTATTAATGACATCTTGTGGGACATATGTTAGCAACTAACAGCATTATTGCCAAGTGCAATATTAATGGATCCTGATTCATACGGAAAGAGGAAAAGTTATTCTCGGAACTTGATACG